TTCAGTTCCTGGGTCGGGAAGACCCCCTGGAGGGTAGGATAACCACTCCAGTGTTCCTGGGCTTCTCTGGGGGCTCAGACAGTAAAGAACCCACCTGCAATGCGGGAGACCTGGGTTCCATCCCTGGTTTGGGAAAATTCCCTGGAGGAGGGCATGGCAACCCACTCCAGTATTCTTGCCTGGAGAATCCCATGGACAGAGGAGCCTGGCGGGCTGCAGTCCACGGGATCGCAAAGAGTTGGACGTGACTGAACGACTAAGCACACACACCCATCTAGGGAAAAGCACATGAACTGTCTGAGAACACCCCTAAGTGATGCTTTTTTTCTGGAGGATTTAGTCATCAGATAACAGAGTAGCATGTATTTACTGTTTGTGGTCAGCATGGCTACCTTCTGCTGGACGTGGGGGTGGGAGTCAGGGGGAGCTAAGCAAAATGGAGGACCCAGGCCTGGGGAGTAATATTTGCATTTTTCTGTCTCAGCACTGTCCATCCCTTCAATTAGTGCCTTCCTAAGAACCATGTTTTTGATCCATGAAAAAATAATTTCTGAAGTAAAAATATATATCCTCAAGATAGAACCTTTCATCAGCAATCACAGGAAAGTGGAAATAAATACAGTACAATACAGTTGAAATCCACTAACAAGCTTTGCTTCATGTTAAATGACTGTTTATGGCAGATGGGCATTACTTAAAAGAAAACTTTTTGTCCATCCACTTTGCATTAAAAGTTTTCTAATCAAATCTGTAGTCCTATCCCCTGCTACTTTAGTTTTAAAACACACACTTTCTCCACAGACATGCTTACAGTTTGCAACCTTGTCCTGCAGACTCTACAGAATATAGTTAGCTACTGAAATAACTTGTCCGTGAAAATGCACAATGTAATTGTACCAGGTGATCCCCAATCTAATGGCAAGGATTTATATGTCATTGTCTGTTTCTTTCACTTCTATCTTCTCTATTTTACTGCTGTCCTCTTTTTAAACAGTGCACACACTTTTGCCCTCAAAATCCTGTTGCATAACATTCTCTGAGTGCTTAATGCGCAACTGGTACTCAGAAAAGAAATGGCGACACAAAGAATGATGACATCCGGTGTCTTCTCAGGGGCTGGCTCTCTGATGGAATTCCTACCCACAGCGTTAAGAGTCTCTCTTGGGCCACAGAGGCAGGATCAGCTTCTCACAATCCCCTGAGATCCTCTGGAAAAGGAACTAGATCTTCCTTATCTGGTGTATCTTTGCCTCCTGGCTCAACATCTATTGAACAACAATAGATGTTCAATAAATACTTATTAAATGATTAACGTCCAAGCCCTACTCATCTGTTGTATGAAAAAGTCCATTCCTGGAAAAACAATATTCCTAGTGGCAATTGTTGCAAAGGCATGGGGAGTGATACTGGTCCTGGATGCAGAGCAACCCTCAGCAAATTTCTCTGGTTGAGAGAGTGGATCCTTCATGGTCCTTGCCCATCACCGCATCCATCCCGTAGCAACCCAATCTGGTCTTCAGCCACTCAGGTCGCTACCTGTGGCTCCTCACTGTATCTGACATCACACAGCACTCGTCCCCATCAAAGTGAAGACTTCCACCTCCTCCTCCCCTCGAGACCCTGCCACGGGCTTTCCACAATGGTAGCGAGCTTAGTAGAAGCCATGAGCCACATGCTCTAAATCCAGTTTCAAGCTCTACACTCTGACTTCCCCCAGAAGCTTCTCTCTCTCCAGCACAGGGTTCCACATAAGGGAGCGCAGCCCTTACGCATGCCGTTCCCTCTGCCTGCAGTCCCTCCCTGCTCCCCTAACTCATTCTTCAAGATGTAAGTCAAAATGGAATGTCTTCTGCTGACAGCCGGTCGTCAGAGTTTGGTCTAATCCCTGAGTAGTGGTGCAGTCCCATGGAGCACACTTCCTGCATCCTGTGATATTTATTAGTTTATGGGATTATCTTCCATGTCAGACTGTGCATGTGTGTTAAGTCACTTCAGTCATGTCTGACTCTTTACGACCCTATGGACCATGGCCTGCCAGGCTCCTCTGTCCATGGGATTCTTCAGGTAGGAATACTGGATTGAGTTGCCCTCCTCCAAAGGGATCTTCTTCCTGACCCAGGGATCGAACCCACATCTCCTGCACTGGCAGGCGGATTCTTTACCACCAGCACCCCCTGGAAGTCAGACTGTCTTCTTCATTGTTGCTTCTTTGATGCTTAGCATGGTACCCAGTCAGGACCATAGTTACCTTCGAAAGATATGTAGAAAGGAAAGGAGAGGAGGGCAGCCTTTGTCCCCACGTTGGCTGAGGTGCAGTGTTATGACTGAATGCAAAGGATGGACAGAGAATGGGGGCATTGTTTGAGGGGTGGTGGGTTTGTCTAGGAGGGTTAAAATGTAGGCCTAGAGGCTCACTCAGTGAGACATCTCTTCCTAGGTTTGGGAGGCACCGAGCGATGGGTCTTACTGACGCTAGACTTGCTCACTTTGTCCCTGACTGCACTGGACTTGATGCGAATTATTTTCACGCAGTTTCAGGTATGTGGTAGAGCAACCAAAGCCCAGTGAACACAGAGTATTTTAAGTCTTGCAAAAATGGTGAGTTATAAAGGACCAAAGGACTGTGTCATCTCAGCTGATACCACTTTCCAAAGCAGGCATAGCTGTCATCTGGAGCAGCCTACGACTTGACCTGGTTCACACCCACAGTGTTCCCAACCTGGCGGCATGCTGGGGGGATTCCCTCCACAGTGACGACACTCAGCTCCCCCACAGTTTCCTGGACCCAGGAGGAAACCCTAGGTTTGGGGTTGGGGGTGGAGGGGCGTGGATGAGCACGCTCAGATTTTTTTCCTCATTGGCCCTGGGGTTTTAAATTGCAACCTCTCTTTTAATTTTCCGTTATGCATCAGACACATCCGTGCCAGAAGCAGACAAATGTATTCCGTCTGGGAGGATGATCCCAGACGGCTATAAATTAGAGCCTGTGTACAGAGATGCCAAAAATGTGGCCTCGTGGTAGGGTGTCCCTGGGACCAGTCACCTCCTCCACAGTCTGCTCGGTGGCTGCAAGCCTTGGCCTGATGCCTCTGTCAATAGATTTTCACTTTGTGTTTGGAAACTCTTTCCACCGAGTGGCTACAGAGGTGGGGCGGGCAGGGCTGCTTGTGAGGTTCTGCTGGATACAGCCATCCAGGCAGCACCCCGAGGACAGGGCTATCCCAAAGGGCATCGCTCTCTTCCCTGTACAAGAAACAGTAATGATCTCCAAAGCCAGTTTCCTCCCAAACTAAAGCCCAGCCCAAGAAAACTCACCCCAGTTTTTTTGGACTGATGAGATAAACTACCATATCAGGCCTTTAAGCTTATAATATACCTGCTTCACCCACAAAACTTCGAGAGGATCGTGCAAAGAGAAAAGTCACCTGTAATTTTACCCTTCAAAGAAAAATATTCTTAATGTTTTAACAGTACTCCTTTAAATATTTTTCCATGCCTTGCTAATGTTTTTTAAACTGCAAAAATCTTTTAAAGCTGGTCGAGCAGCACAGTTTCTTTAGCTGTCCCTCACATTATCCAATTAATGCTTTCCTCTAAGTACTGGAAACTTTTAGTTGTTCCACCTCAGAGAGCCCAGCTGGTAGAACTCTGCGCCTCCAGTTCCTCCTGCAGACATCATGCTGCTCTACTGAAGAAGCTGGCCACCAAGGGAATGGGCCTTGGGGGAATAGAGGGTGAAAAGAGATAAAGTCTTCATATAAATCCAGTCAGAGAGCCCCAGCCCTTCACAGATAGCCCACAGACGGATCCTGTATAAATAGGGCTCTGACCCCGACTTTGACATCATTTTCCTTATTAAACCTCTGTCTCTGACTTTGATGCTTCTGCCTCCTTGTTGCCAGCCTCCGTGCCTGCTCTGCCCTGCTGGGGCCGGGGCAGCCTCTGAACTAATGGTTCGGGGATGGCTTAGGCAGCCCAGCGCTAACCGGATGGGTTGGCCGAACCAGGAGGCTCTTTTTACATCTCTGCTCACTTTCCTGTGGTGCTTTGAGTCCAGAAGGTGCCAGTGAGTAACTGTTGAACTGATATAATGAAATTCGAGATGGTTGTTTGTGGAGAGAGGAAGCCATGGCGGGAGCCCGCCGGGACTGTCCTGCAGTGGTAGGGAAGGCTTTCAGAGCCAGTGCGGAGCCTCGCAGAAGCCCTCACAGCAGCAGAGAAGCAGGCAGTGAGCCTAGCGGCCGCCAGCCTGCCCAGCCACCGCCTGTGCCAGCCACTCAGCCTCTCCATGAGCCACACAGCACACAGACCAGGCTTTTTCAGAAAATTATTTTTTCCTTTCTTGCTTTCCATGGAAACCCAAAATAGCAACCAAAAAAAAGAAAGAAAGAAACAGAAAAACCCCAGCCAGTTTCCCTCCTGCAGAACCATCCTCAGGCGGGGCAGTGCAGTGACCATGGTGGCCTGGGCGGGCAGGACAGGTTCTAGATGCTTCTAAAGTGGCTTTCTAACTGGGCACTGCACACTCAGGAGGTGTGGGTGGGTTCTGAGGTTGGCGTGTTTTCTTCCTATTTAGAAAAGTGGGTGTCCCCCAGGTCTGGGAGTTCATCTTGCTCTTGGTGACCTCTCTCTGTGGTGCTGGTGAGGAAGTCCAGAGTACCCAGCAGGGAACAATAGGACAAGGAGCAGATAGCTTCCAGGGGGACTGTTGTGGGAACTCTTTTTGAGAAGCATCCTAGGTTAGGCTGTGCCTGCCCCGTAATCGCAGGGCAGCCTGACAGAATGGGAGAAACTCTGAGCTTGGAATCAGGAGAGCCCAGCTTTTAACATCCCATCAGGGACCTGGGGTTGGGGACTCTGAGCACATCATTCCACCCCCACTATATGAAAGACGAAGAGGGTCCAGCTGGTTTTTCAGGGGCCACTCTGCCAGCCCCCAGTCTCCCAGAGCATACACACACATTCCCCTCCCTTGTAAACACAGGCTGTTTCCCTTTCAGCTGGCAGGGTCGGCTGTCATTGCTTTTGGACTATGGTTTCGGTTTGGAGGCTCCATGAAGGATTTCTCCTCGGAGGACAAGTCCCCAGAGTACTTCTATGTGGGTGAGTAACTGCAGCCTCTCCTTCTTTAGATGGGGTTGCCCGGGCTTAGAGGGGAGCCTGCAGCTGGACTTCCATGGGAGGGGAAATGGAGGGAGAGAAAGGAGGCAAATCAGAGCCCCAGATGCCCACCCAGGCCAGGCAGAGGGGAGAGGGCCCTGCTACCCCACACCTGGTTCATCCCTCTGCTTCCAAAACCGAGGACGACCAGGTGGGACTGAACGGTTGTACTTCTTTCAGCCACTTCAAGAAAGAAGCCCAGCATGTAACCACAATTCATGTCCAAAGAATTGGAAAACCCCGCTGCACCCCCTGAGTGAAGTGGGTGCACGACAATGTCAGTCCTTTGCTCATCCATAGGATGACAGGGAAGCCCTGCCCAGTCAAGCTCTTGTTTTGTGTATTTGTGATTTTGTGTATTTTAAATTGTCTAGGAGAGACACCTGACTCAAAATAAAGAGAGACAGCTCAAGGTGTGGAGGGGCTAATCTGAGTCCCTCCATGACTAGGGACTGCAAAGGGGAGAGGAAGTGGAGCAGAGTTGGGTGGGGAGGGCAGGGAAGGGAGTGGGGGCAGGAGAGCTTCCCTGGGCAGAAACCTCAGTGTGGGAGGGATAGTGCAGCCTTCTTCCTGCAGTGGGAAAGGGGTGAGGAGTGGGAAGCCGGTATAGACCACGTGATAAGTTGAGGCTGAGAAACTAGTGTATAACTAAATGCCAACTTGGTGGTGTTTGCAGTTGGTGCATCAGGGGTCATTCTAAACTGGTGAGGCAAGAAGGATTTGAGTTAGGTATGAAAAACCAACCTTAATCAATAGAGAAGAGGACGACTAGGGACTGAAGAGGTTTGGGACACAAGGCATGCCTATGAGACAGTGATTAGCAAGCTTAGGCTGGGCAGATAACTCTTACCAGAATGTAAAGCATATGGGCATGGAAGAAATTACGATTAGAAGTGTTGAGAAGGGAGGGAGGACAGATACAGAGGGCCTTGAATGTCAGTGCTAGTTAATTTAATAAACAGTAGAAGAGGGGCCTCTCTCATGGCTCAGTGGTAAAGAATCTAACTGCCAACGCAGAAGCATAGGTTCTGTCCCTCATCCAGGAAGATAGCACATGCCTCTGAGCACCTAAACCCATGTAACACAACTACTGAGCCTGTGCTCTAGAGCCCAAGTGCCACAAATACTGCACCCCATGTGCCCCAGAGCCTGTGGTCCACAACAAGAGAAGCCTGTGCATGGCAGCTTGAGAGGAGCCCTCCGTCTCCACAGCTAGAGAAAAGCCCCACACAGCAACGAAGACACAGCACAGCCAAAAGTAAATAAATAATGCAGTTTTAAAAAACAAAATAAACAACAGAAGGATAGTTTAGAGGAGGGTACAATCAATCTACAGGGCTTCCCTGATAGCTCAGTTGGTAAAGGATCTGCCTGCAATGCAGGAGACCCTGGTTCGATTCCTGGGTAGGAGAGATCCGCTGGAGAATGGTTAGGCTACCCACTCCAGTATTCTGGCCTAGAGAATTCCATGGACTGTATAGTCCATGGGCTCACAAAGAGTCAGACACGGCTGAGCGACTTTCACTTTCACAATCAATCTACCTTGCATTTTAAAGAGATTATTCTGGAATGAGAGGGGAGGACAAAAAAGACCATGCTAGATTATTGATACAGTCAGACCTGAAGAAATAAGGGCATAACCCATGGTGGTAGCAGTAGGAATTGTGAAGAAAAGGATAGAAAGGCAAGAAACTTTATTAAGCATTATTAAATGTTATTATTAAACATTGTTAAACTCAGGGACAGAAGGAATCAAAACAAAAAAAGGTATCAGTGATAAAGTCAAACATAGAAGTCACAACTCATGATTTTCAGATGGAAACCTGAGTTACAGAAGTCAGGGACCCTGCTGGGTTAGAGAAGGGGTGAGGGTGTGGAAGGAAGGATGAAGGCCAGTCTGGGAGCAGCCTCTATCTGTGTTCCTCCAGAAACAAAGCACTGATAGCCATTTCACAGGTGTAGATTTGGGTCCAACAAAAGAAAAACTTTTCAATGGTTTGATAAACCAAAGAAGCTGAGCAGATTTCTATAGAAAGTGACCCCTCTGATACATTGGTATTTAACCAAAAATCCAAATGGATCTTCTATCCATACAGCAGATTCCTGCACTGAGTAGGAGGGTGAACTAGCTCCGAACATTCCTGACTCTATTTCCAAATCTAAACTAAAGCAATATGAACTGCCCAAGATGCAAGAAATGTCACATGTTTGTGGATGTATTTGTCAGCACTCTTTCAATTGCAAATCGCAGAAACTTGACTCAAACTGTTTTGAGCAAAACAGAAATTTCTTGGCTCATAATGGAAAAATCAGGATTAATACTCATCTTAGGGACACAAGTGATGTGATCAGAATCCAGTCTTTAGCCATCTCTTAGCTCTGTTTTCCTGTGGCTCTAGTCTGGGGCAGATTCCCCCTAGATCTGATAAATCGGCCACCCACAGCCCCAGGTACCATCTCCTAAGTAACCATGGCAACAGTGTGCTCCTCTTCCAGCTGACTCAACCAAAGTCCTGGGTCTCACTGTCATTGGCGGTCTTGGGTCCAGTGCCCATTCCCACACCAGTCATTGTGGCCAGCTGCCTGAGACGGGCTTGTTGGCTGAAGCCTGGGCCTCACACCTGCCATGGAGCTGGGGCAAGTCAGCCCTCTCAGACCACGTGGGCTGAGAGTGAAGGAGGTTCTTTGTCTAATAGAGAAGAAAAGGAAGTGAACTCAGGGTGGGAAAAACAACAGCCCCCATAACAGGGCCTGAATCCTTCCTGCTTGTTCCTGGTGACGTGGGATGTGGGCATGGGCCACCCTTGGTTCTTCATCAGTCACACCTCCCCTCTCTAAGTCACCCACAACGGGCTGGTGGTGAGAATGCTTATGTTCAGTGCTCAAAGTTCAGAGAAGAGAGTTATCACAGAGTCTTAGTACTGAATAGAATAAGGAGACTAAGGGCCAGGGCGTGAAACAGACAGGAAAGGGGGGCTGGCAGTCAGCTGTGGTTTTCCAGCTTTTCACAGTGGGGCTCAGCCCTCAATCCAGGTTTGCCAATACCTAGGCCTGTGCTTATTCTGTTTGTTTTCCTGCGTTGTTTCTCTGGTGAGTGCCAACAAAGTCCGTGTGAAGTCAGGAAACTTCTCTCCATTTCAAATATTTCTTATAGATAGAAAGAGCAATATACATGTTTATAGAAGTTGATATTTCTTTCCTCAATAAATAATTTTCCAAATAGGAAAGATACCAGATCTCTTGTAATAAAATGAAAAGAAAAAATGTACCAGGATGCCATTTTATGGACTTGCATAGCAAACAGTATGAGGTAATAGGACTTTAAAGAAGAAGCAGGCCCAGTTTTTGGAAAATCTCACTTCATGTCGCTAGGTACTGTGCACTGAACTGTGTATTTTCTTTTCAGAATAGGTTCCAGAGCAATCAGCACATTAAACTCTTATCGCCACTTTGTTAAAGAGCCCTGGAGAACAAGCTTGGCCCATTAAAGTGCTCTTAAAGAAACACAACCTTTCCCTGAGAGGGACCTCAGGAAGGCATGTGGTGTAACTCCCTGCTTCTGGGCAGATGACTGCCACCCTTTGTAGGAAATCCTTCTTCCTCTGGGGCTTCCCAAATGGTTGTTGCTGTTCATTCCCTCAGCTGTGTCTGACACCTTGTGACTCCATGGACTACATGCCAGGCTTCCCTGTCCTTCACCATGTCCTAGAGTTTGCTCAAACTCATGTCCATTGAGTCAATGATACTGTCCAACCATCTTGTCCTGTCACCCCCTTCTCCCACCTTCACTCTTTCCCAGCATCAAGATCTTTTCTAATGAGTCGGCTCTTCACATCATGTAGCCAAAGTATTGGAGCGTCAGCTTCAGCATCAGTCCTTCCAATGAATACTTAGGGTCGATTTCCTTTTGGATTGACTGGTTTGATTTCCTTTCAGTCCCGGGGACTCTCAAGACTCTTCTCCAACATCACAGTTCAAAAGGTGCTATTGGTAAAGAACCCGAGTGCCAATGCAGGAGACACAAGTTCCATCCCTGGGTCAGGAAGATCCCCTGGAGAAGGGAATGGCAACCCACTGCAGTATTCTTGGCTGGAGAATCCCCAAGGACAGAGGAGCCTGGCCGGCTTCAGTCTATGGGGTCGCAAGAGTCGGACACTACTTAGCATAGCACACATGCACTTCCTCCTCTAGGGGGATGCTTTCCTTTCTGGGACCCTTGTGTCTTCCTCCTCGGTGATGAAGAGAATGTCCCTTCATATAATAAAGATCTGGAATTGACTTTATAGTTAAGGATCAGTGTGGAGAGGATCCAGCTGTGAGGGGAGTTAGAAATGAGGCCAGGGAGCCAGGGCAGTCACACTGACAGCACCTACCACCTCTTCTCAAGGACTTCTGAGTTCAGGTCAAGACCCGGAGGCTGACCCAAGGTATTACATCTACTGGTTGCTAGGCTGGAGAAGGGAGAGCCTGGCAAGAGTGGAACTGGCAACAAGAAAGGCTAGGTGACTTGGTGTTTCCCAGACCCTCTTCATGTTGGTCTCCTTCACTCTTGGGAGAAACCCCCAATGTCTTCAAAGTTCCACTAACATGCCACTCTGCTCTCCCATTACAATTTTTCTCTGGGGCTGCCCCTTAGGGGTATAGACAACACAGGGGTCTTCCTTCCAGAGGCACAGGGTGGGGAGAGATTCCCTGGGCCCTCAGGAAGCTGGAACACATGAAGTCATGTTTGTGAGCGAAGGATGGAGGCCATCAACAGGATCCTCCCCAAGGGGAAGGAGCTGCCTGCTCAGACTCAGCCACTCACTCTCTGGAATCCCAGGTTGTCTGTGGCTGTCCCTCAGCGAATACAGAGCTGCAGAACCTGGCTTTGATTGTGGCTAGATGTCATGTGTAAGGTAAGCGTTCCAGTGCTGAGTGTTTCGGGGCTTTTTAAAGACTCT